GTGCAGCCAACGACAGAACTGCAGCGTGGCGGCGTCCACGAGGGGCTTCGGCGACCCCTGCCCCGGCACCCTCAAGTACTTGGAGGCGCATTTCCAGTGTGTCCCTGGTGAGTGGCTCGCTCTCCCTCCCCCTCTCTTTCTCTTTTTTATCTTTTTATCTTTTTTTTCTCTTTTTCTCTTTTTCTCTTTTTCTCTTTTTCTCTTTTTCTCTTTTTCTCTTTTTCTCTTTTTCTCTTTTTCTCTTTTTCTCTTTTTCTCTTATTCTCTTTCTCTCTTTCTCTCTTTCTCTCTTTCTCTCTTTCTCTCTTTTTCTCTTTCTCTCTCTCTCTCTCTCTCTCTCTCTCTCTCTCTCTCCTCTCTCTCTCTCTCTCTCTCTCTCTCTCTCTCTCTCTCTCTCTCTCTCTCTCTCACACCTCCTCATCCTCCTCCTCCCCCTCCGTCTCCCTCCCCCCCCCCCCCTTCCTCCTTCCATTAGCTCGGCATCCATCGCCCTTCAGTTTTCCTTCCTGTTAGTTTATTTTCCATTTATTTCTTCTCTTCTCGATTCGTTTCTGCCAATTTCCCCTTGCCCCCCCCCCTTTTTTCGTTTTTCTTTTTCTCTCTCTCGCTTTTTGCTTTTTTTCCGTTTGTTTTGATTACTGATCCTTTGCCCAACGGCTCTGGGGGCCCTGTCTGTATAGAGCCAAAATTTGCTGGTGCTTGTAATTTAATGCAGTCGAAGGGGTATTGATTTACTTATAAATAAATACATAAATAAATGAATATATATATATATATATATATATATATATATATATATATATATATATATATATCGATATATGTATATATATCGATATATGTATATATATCGATATATGTATATATATCGATATATGTATATATATCGATATATGTATATATATCGATATATGTATATGTATATATATATATATATATATATATATATATATATATATATATATATATATATATATATATATATATTGTTGTGTGTGTGTGTGTGTGTGTGTGTGTGTGTGTGTGTGTGTGTGTGTGTGTGTTTGTGTGTGTGTGAAAACTCAGGTCGCAGTTCGAGAGATAACGCCGCCCTCTCTTGCAGTGAGTCCGCCCCAGCACACCGCGCGCCCCCGCCCGCACTGGTTCATCGCCACCAAGACGACCGTCAGCTCCATTACGGAGGACGACCCTCTCCTTCCGTCGCCGCCCACGAAGATCAGTCCCGCCGGCGCGGGCGGAAGCGGCGCCAGTGGGCGGCCTGTTACCGACGGCGTAGAGCGCGAGGGCGGCCTGGGCGGCGGCGTCGAAGGAAGCATAGAGGGAGGCGACGGCACGGGAGTCGTGGGCGGCGCCGCCGACGTCGTGGGCGCCGACCTCGGCAACCGGCTGAAGGGGACGCCCGCAGAGGACCTTCCGCAGACGACCACCTCCACCACGACCACGACGACGCTGCGCCCGCCGCCGTGGCTCATCACCAACACCACCAAGAACACCACGACCTCCACCACCACCTCCTCCACCACGTCAACGACCACCTCGACCGCGAAGCCGTCGTCCTCGACCACGTCCACCACGGCGCGCCCCAACACCAATCTGGAGGCGCCCGCCGTCCCCTCCGAGGGCGGCTCCGAGGGCGGCAGAGACGAGCACGAGCACCGGGACGCGGCCAAGGGCGCCGCCACCGACGGCCCAGTCGCGCCCGACGCCGACAGAGTGTCCACCTCGACCATCTCCACCACCAGTAAGTCCCGTCCGCTGGTCGACGCCTCCGGACTTTGTTTTGTTTGTCATTGCTGTTATTGTTGCCGTTTTATTTCCACCATTAACCTTGCCCTTTTCCCCGCGAGGGTGAATCCCTTTGCCAAGGATTTCTTGACTGACGCGAGCCTCTCTTGCAGCCGTGTGGGCCCCGCGCGCCGAGGTGCCCGCCACGGAGGTCGGCGTGCCCATCAGCGAGGCCTCGTGGTGCCCGCCGTCGTCCGGCCGCGGCCTGTTCTGGAACTGGACTCAGGGCGGCGAGGTGGCCGTGCAGCCGTGCCCGGGGGGCGCCTCGGGCTGGGCGCGCCGCCCCTGTAACCCGCTCGGCTGGGCGGGCCCCGCTGACCTCAGCGAGTGCCGCAGCGTGTGGCTGACGACGCTGACGTCGCGCGCGCACACCAACGACGCAGTGCTGGCGGTGGCGCACGACCTGGCCACGGTGACGGGGTCGCGGGCGCTCTACGGCGGCGACGTGACGGCCACGGCCAGGCTCCTGAACAGCCTGGCGCGGCGCATGGCGGACGACGTCAGCAACTTTCCCGATCGCGCCCAACGCGAGGCCCTCGTCACGGAGCTCGTCGGCGCCGCCATCGCCACGGGCTCGCACCTCATGGGCGGCCAGCGAGACGCGTGGGCCGACCTGCGCCCGCCCGAGCACAGGGCGGCGGCCACCGCGCTGCTGCTAGGCCTGGAGGAGGCCGCCTTCCTCCTGGCCGACAACCTGCACCACGAGAAGACCGTCAACCACGCCGAGTCCAACATCTGTAAGTATGGGGGAGAGGGGAGGAGGGAGGGAGGGAGGAAGGGAGGAAGGAAGGAAGGGAGGAAGGAAGGGAGGAAGGAAGAAGGAGGAAAGGAAGGAAGGAAGGTAGGAAGGAAGGAAGGAAGGAAGGAAGGAGTGAGGGAGGGAGGGAAGGAAGGAAGGAAGGAAGGAAGGAAGGAGGGAGAGAGGAAGGGAGGGAGGGAAGGATGGAGGAGGGGAAGAGGGAAGAAGGAAGGAAGAAAAACAGAACAAAACAAAAATATCAAGGAAAAGATAGATAAAGAAAGAAAGAAAGGGAACAGAAAGAGATAGACAGGGAAATAGAGAGAGAAAGTGAAAAAAAGAATGAGAAGAGAGAAAGAAGGAGGGAGGGAGAATAAAATGGAGTGTGAGTAAAAGATAGACAGACAGACAAACAGACAGAGAATATGTGCAGGTAAGAGGCAGAGGATAGATAGAATACTTATCAAGGATTCCACAAGCGAACCTTGTACAAGATTTATTTACAGGCGTTTACATTTAGTCTGCTAAAACGTAGTCGAGATACGTCACAGAATAACATCCTATCTTTTCTTTACAATATGCCAAAGGTTTTAAAAGCGTGGGTCGAATTAGGTCAAACATGTTAAAGAGACGAGTATAGCCTCCCTACATTGTGATACGCTCTCTCTTCTCTTCTCTCTCTCTCTCTCTCTCTCTCTCTCTCTCTCTCTCTCTCTCTCTCTCTCTCTCTCTCTCTCTCTCTCTCTCTCTCTCTCTCTCTCTCTCTCTCTCTCTTCTCTCTCTCTCTCTCTCTCTCTCTCTCCCTCTCTCCCTCTCTCCCTCTCTCTTTCTCTCTTTCTCTCTCTTCTCTCTCTTCTCTCTCTCTCTCTCTCTCTCTCTCTCTCTCTCTCTCTCTCTCTCTCTCTCTCTCTCTCTCTCTCTCTCTCTCTCTCTCTCTCTCTCTCTCTCTCTCCTCTCTCTCTCTCTCTCTCCTCTCTCTCTCTCCTCTCTCTCTATCTATCTATCTATCTATCTATCTCTCCCTCCCTCCCTCCCTCCCTCATTTTTTCCCAAAATTCTTCATGAGGTTCCTTATCTCTTTCCTTCTTCTTTTTCTAATTTGATTTTCGGTCCTCCTCCCCCCCCTACCTTCTCCTCTCCTCCTCCTCCTCCTCCTCCTCCACCTCCTCCTCCACCTCCTCCTCCTCCTCCTCCTCCTCTTTTTCCTCCTCTTAATTTCGAAATTCTCGCGCCGCAGGTGATGTCAGCCGAACCGGTCGCCTTTTGCTTTCGGCTAGATCAACCTTTAATGTCACTCCTGCCAAACTAGATTACAGAAATACCATTAGCTCAGCCAATTTCGTGCTGCGAAGTCTGCTCGGACTCGGCGGGGGATGGGCGGGAGTGGGCGGGGGATGGGCGGGAGTGGGTTGGGGATGGGCGGGAGTGGGTTGGGGATGGGCGGGAGTGGGCTGGGGGATGGGTGGGAGTGGGTTGGGGATGGGCGGGAGTGGGTTGGGGTGGGCGGGAGTGGGTTGGGGATGGGCGGGAGTGGGTTGGGGTGGGCGGGAGTGGGTGTGGGTGGGTGAGTGTGGGCGGGGGTGGGCGAGAATGGGCGGGGGTGGGCGAGAATGGGCGGGGGTGGGCGAGAATGGGTTGGGGATGGGCGGGAACGGGTTGGGGTGGGCGGGAGTGGGTTGGGGATGGGCGGGAGTGGGTGTGGGTGGGTGAGTGTGGGCGGGGGTGGGCGAGAATGGGCGGGGGTGGGCGAGAATGGGTTGGGGATGGGCGGGAACGGGTTGGGGTGGGCGGGAACGGGTTGGGGTGGGCGGGAACGGGTTGGGGTGGGCGGGAGTGGGTTGGGATGGGCGTGAGTGTGTGGGGGTGGGCGGGGAAAATGTTGGTGTATCACAATGTAGGGAGATGCACAAATAGGTGGGGGGTATGGGAGGGGAGAGGGAAGGTAGGAGGAGAATGGAAGGTGGGAGGGAGGGATGAGAGTAAGGAAGAGAGAGAGAGAGAGAGAGAGAGAGAGAGAGAGAGAGAGAGAGAGAGAGAGAGAGAGAGAGAGAGAGAGAGAGAGAGAGAGAGAGAGAGAGAGAGAGAGGGTGGGGGGAGAAAAGAAATGGATAGAGATTGTGGATAACTGAAATATGAAAACATCCGGGGCTCATTTTAAGGCCGAAGCAGGATTCCGGAGGCTGCAATTGATGGATGGAAAGGATATTGCAGGATTCGATTGCAAAAGGCGAAGGGTCTGATAGGTATAGCATTAGGCGTTAATTAATTAGGTCGCGGAATTGGCTCTGAAATTTTTCTCTTTTGACCTTTCCGTTTTCTTTCCTTTCTCTTTTTGATCTTTTTTTTTTTCTTGTCTGTTTTCTTTGCCTGACATTTTTTTTTCTCTTTCTTCTCTCTTGCTTCTCTCTTGCTTCTCTCTTCTTTCTTTCTGCATTTTTTCCCCTAATAATCTTCACGTTATATTTTCTTTCTTCTT